ATGGCTGCTGGGATCATGCATGGAAGTTTTTGCTCTCTGCTGTAAACTGCTGCCAGAGAAGCTTTAATACAATGCTAGCATGGATGCTAGGCTGCAGTAGTGCTGGCCTCTAGGATTCTGGCAGCAGGATCAGGCCTGCAAGTAAAGCCTCTCTGCAGAGCACCATCTTGCCTCCAGAAGTTCTTGGTAGTGGTGGGGGTAGATGAGAGGGATGCAGCCCTATTGACAACTCCTTACTCTAAGCCAAGCTGATTATAGCAAAAGAAAGGTGACCAGGTTTGATCCTTGAGATTAACGCCATTGCACATTTGGGCCTGGGGAGGAGAGGGGTGAAGGGAGAAGGCGGTGTTGCAACCCTAGAAGATAGTAAAGCATCCAAAGCCCTTCTACAGGTACAGTTCAAACAGCCCCTGCAATGGTCAGTGATACCCAGCTCAAAGCAGGGAAGTTCTCAGGTGTCAGAGCTGACAAACTCCAACAGTGGCTGGATTCTGCTTATATGGCATCTTCCACGGGAGGATCTCAAAGGGCTTTGCAGTCACTGAGGAATTATGCTCTGCACACCCTTAGGAGGCGGGTAACAAGAATTCCTGACTTACACAGACTGAGCAGACATCATCAAGCTGGTATTAAGGAATGGTGTTAGCAGTGCTGGGCACACCAGCAAAAGGCACTTGTTCAGTGAAGAGCCACGTGTCCCAGGGTCTCCCAGCTCACCCCGGCACTGGCCCACACCCCACCCACTGCACCTCATCACAGGAGGATGGGGCGGAGACCCTTGCCATGGGCTTGCTCTCTGACCACATGCCAGGGTTGCACTGGGAGTGCCGTGGGACGGAGATACCACATCACCACCCCTGAGGGGTTAATAGCAACTGAGAAGTTGTCTCCTGTCTTTAAGCCACTGGTGATCTTCCCGCTGTACACATCTTGTACCTGGAAGAGAGAGATTTCCACAGACCTTTCATCTTGGGGTCCAGCTGTGGTCACTGACATAGCATAGCAGGACAGGGCACAGTAGTGGGCAACAGGAGGGTGACCCAGTGGGCAGCTGCCCCTTCATCCTGGACGCATAGAGTGTGAGTCCTCCCTCCCACTCCTCCCAGAATGCATAGAGAGCTGGGAAGAGGGGGATCCAGGTGCCATAGGGCTGCCCTGCTATGCAGTGTGTCAGTGGGGCTCACCTCATACACAGCATCCTCAGGGAAGTGGAGCTTGGCGAGGCTGGTGGTGTAGAGGAAGGGCATATCTGTCCTTCGGCTGAAGAAGACGAGGGCGCTGGCAGCCTGGGACAGTGGGCGCAGAAACACTTCGATGAGGGTTTTCTCCTAGGAGTGGGGATAGGTGGGTGAGGCAGAGCTGCTGGGACCAGCACTGGCCCATAACCTGTCTGACCTTGCCCTGTGGGGCTGCTACGCCAGCAGGCCCCCAGCTTTCACAGCTCTCCCGCTCTTGTTTCTCTGCATCACTTCCCTCTCCCTCCTTACTGTGATGCTCTGTGCTGCTCCTGTCAGCTCTCCCAAATGTATCTGCCTTGTTCCTAACCTTGACAATCCTGCGCCCCTGAATTCCCAGGGGGTCCTGGTTGATCTGGATCATCAGGCGGTTCTGCAGGATCTCCTTAGCACTTGGGGAGATGGTGCGGAGATCCGTGGACATGAGGAGAGGAGCTGCCATCACTGTCCACAAGGCCATTTGAGAGCGTGACTGCTCGTAGCTAAGGCCAAAATTTCCAATGATGAGCTGGAAGGGAGACAGTGAAAAGATGTGAGAGGCAGAAAAAGGTTAGGAATTTGTCTGTTTGTCACCCTTGCTGATGCTGCTTCCTCCTGGGAGGGAGCTTGCCAGGGAAACCTCACACACACTTTTGCTTCCTCTTGAGCAGTCCACCACCAGGAGATCCCACCTCTGCCAACAGCACACATTCAAATGCACTCACTAACACCCTTCATTTCACCAATACTCCCCCTCTGTGCAGGGAAGAAAAGAACACGTGGATGACTTGTAAACTCAAACAGTGAAGGGTTCATTGCAACCATGCGGTTTTCCCAGAGCTTAGCCAAGGGCAACACCAGCTTTGCCTCTTTGCAGCAACAAGACTCCTGCTCTTGGCACTCGTCCTTTGCCCTGCCCATAGAAGAGGATCTCTGGAAATCCTCATCCCCAGACAGAGTCAGAGCACCCACCACCCAGCCGCACCATGTCCGGGTCATTCCAGTGACCGGGGCCAGCTGCTGGCTGCAGCACATCCTGGTTTGTGAAGAACCAGTCCAGGATGGAAAGTACACTGTCCCAAGAGTCCTGGATGTCATCATAGTTACGCCACAAGTTGCAGACCTCTGCCAGGATGGTGTAGTTCACCTGAGGAGAAGAATGGGGTCAGGCAGCAGGGAAAATGGAACTGGTCTGCAAGGTGAGGGAGAAGAGGCAGCCCAAACTGCTGAGAGCTGCACTGTCCAGAAAGTGTGTCAAAGACGGAGGGATCTGGAGAAGGGCAACATCATGTAGGGAGGGAGGACAAAGTCATGTCCCAGTATGACTGGGCACATGCCAGTATGATAGGATGTCTGGCAAAGCAACCACAGAGGCCTTGGGGAAATATGATCAGCTATCAGCTACAAGAGTGAGGGCAGCTTGGGATTGACTCAAAACGTGAAAGAGGAAGTACATGAATGCAACCAATTCTCAAGAAAGATATATTAGGAGGAATATCCTGTTTCAATCACCGAAACCAGACAGGACCTGTCTCACAAGAACAGACCGTCAGGAGCAACTCCACACCAGCTGAGTAGGGTGGAGATGGCATACCCCAGGGCCTTCTTCCCACAAACTCCCCTCACTTAGCCACGCTGGAAACCCCAAACGTTCCCAGATGCCTGGCAGGGAGGCTACATCCCCTCTGCAGCACCACTCAGGGGCAGAGTGATAAGCAGGGTGTAGCACCTGGCTCCTGTGGCTCCAACAAGAGCTCCCCCAGCACACAGGGGACACAGGAAACTGCCACTGGATAGGACAACCCTCACCTTGGGGGGGAGCCCTCCCTGGTATGCTGGCCAGCTGCAGGAATAGACGATGGGGCGGCCTGTGGCGTTCAAAGCCCTCGCCATTTCTGGGTAGCCTTAGGGAGAGAAGATGACAACTGATGAAGAGGGTGGCTGGAAGCAGCCTGCGTCCCAACAGCAGCCTGTATTGCAGCCCACCCAGCAAGGGGAAACCCAGGCCAGCATGGCTTTCTGCCTTACACCAGCTCCAGGGCACCCAAACTCCCTCCGCTTTGCCCAGGAGTTGCAATAGGAGACACAAGGAAAGAACCACTTGGCCAAATGTTTCTGCAGATGGCCAGCTGCCCCAACCAAAGCAGCAAGGGAAGAAGTACCAGATGGCCCATGAGCTTTTACCCTTTGCTTGCTCGTGTTCTGATGAGTAGCACCCATCCAGCTTTAGCATATCCACACCCCACTCTGCAAAGGTCTGGGCATCCTGCTTCACATAGTCCAGTGTGGTGCCCGGGTAGCCCCCACAGGTGAGGCTGCCCAGGTCGCCGTAAATGCCCAGCTTTAGGCCCTTGGCATGGACCTGTAAGGAGAGGAGAGCTGCAAGGAGTGGATGCGGGGATCCAAGGTGTCTCCCAGGTGCCAGGGTCCTCCATCCCCTCCCAGTTCTCCCACCGTGGTGGCAGGGAGACACAGAAATCCCCACAAACCCCAGCAGGCACTCACATAGTCAGCCAGAGCCCTAATTCCACTAGGAAATCTCTCAGGATCGGGAACCAGCCGTCCTGCCGCGTCCCGCTGCTTGGCAGACCAGCAGTCGTCAATGTTGATGTACTGGTATCCCAGCACCCTCCATCCATCCTCTGCCATCCGGTCTGCCATCTCAAAGAAGAGCCTCTCGCTGTGGGTTGAGGGGACATGGCAGGCTGAGACCCTGCAACCCCTGTGCCCCACTAGCTGTGGTAGGCAAAGGGATTTGGGGTTAGCTGGGGACTCTGGAGGGTTGATCGCTGCTGGGCTGGTCTGGGCCATAGGAAGGGCTCCTGTTTAAACCCCGTCAGGGTCCCGTTCGTTGACCTCACCGAGGGAAAGTGTTTCCCGACACGTCGCAAAGCCTGGCCACATCCTTCAGCTCCGGGGGCTCTCCAGCCCAGCACCGGGCGCCTGAGTCCCCCTCCTCCCACGCACATACACCCGGGATCCCAGGGACACAAACGCTGCCAGAGCTGTCGCAGGTCTGATGTCCGACCCGACCGCTCACCGCCCCGCTGACCTGATGCAGTTGTGGGGATCCGCCCGGCAGTCCACGTTGCAGCGGAACCTCTCCCAGGCCAGCCAGCCCATGGGGGGAGTGCGCGCCAGCCCGTTCTCCAGGGCCACGGAGGGCAGCGCCAGGGCTACGGCCACGGCCACGGCCACGGCCAGGGCCACCCCGCTCGGCACCATCGTGCCCACAGCTGCCGCCGGGGCACAGAAAGAGTCTTCCGTTCCCGGCCCGGCCCCGCTCACATGATGCCGCCCACATCACCTGACTGCCTCCCCCCGCCTCCCGCCCGGCCCGGGGCCACCGGGACCCGCCGGCATGGCACAGCACTGTCCTGCGCCCCACAGCCGGGGCATCCCGTTCATATCCCCCCCCCGCACTGTTGCACCCTGTCAGTATCGCACCCCGTCCGTACTGCACCCCACCGCTTGCTGCAACGCGCAGCTGCTGCCCACCAGCACTGCGCCCAGCCGGTACTGCACCCCACTGCCATCGCACCCCATTGCTGGCACCCTATCACCGCCGCACCCCGCGGCTGCTGCATCCCAATAGTTACACTGGGAGTGGGAGGTTTATGTCCCCCCGAGGTTGGGACCCCGCAGGAGTGTCGGGAGGAGCGAAGGGGTGCGGGAGGACGCGGCTCCGGGCAGGCTGCGGTGCCCCCCGCCCCCCGCTCCTGCTGCCGCGGCCGCCGGCGGGGCGGTGCTGCCGGCGCGGCGGGACGGCCCCAGCGGCCGCAGGAGCCCTCCCCCGCCCGCGGCCGGGGCTGGGCTGCCCCGCACCGCACCGCCGAGCAGGAGCGGCCGGAGGTGAGCCGGGACGGGCCGGGACCGGGAGCCGTTGTCCCGCTGTCGGGACAAGCTGGGCAAGGGACCGCTGGGCAAGGGCCAGGTGGCGGCGGGGCCGGGACCGAGCGGCGGCGGGGCGGGCGCGGGGCCGCGGGGGTGGGAGGCACACGGCGAACACACACGGAGGGGCACCCACGCACACAAAGACACGCCGCCCGATTGCACAGGCGTGCGCCCGCACACAAAGACAGAGCCCAGCACTGCACACTGCGACCCCCGCAGCCCCCTCGCATCAGGGCTGGTGAGGGCCGCCCCGGCTGCCCGCAGCCAGAGTGTGCCGGGCTGGAGGTTCCCCAGGGTGCCGCGCCGAGGATAGGGCAACCCCGGGGAACCGCCTTTCCTTGTGTCTTGTGCATTTTCATACCGAGATCCGTGCCCCTAGATCCTCAGCCCTGCCCGCAAGCCCCGATGGGGGAGAAGGGCTCCGGGAGGGATTCTGGAGGTTGCTCAGCAGTAGGGAGCTCCGCACGGCCGGATCTGACCAGGGAGTGGTGGCTATGGTTTGTTTTCTGCATATTTCTGTGTGTGGAGTTTTAGCGGTCGGACATCCTTTTGCAGTTGTACAATCCACAAAGGCTGTGTGGGACAGTGACAGCTTCTACAAAGCCTCTTTTTTTTTTTTTTTTTTTTAATAAAACCAAAACAAAGCCTCAGGAGCCAGAAAACAAACCCACAGGAGCACTGGCCTGAGCTGGGATGGTTTTTTTTTTTTTTTTTTTAATAAAACCAAAACAAAGCCTCAGGAGCCAGAAAACAAACCCACAGGAGCACTGGCCTGAGCTGGGATGGAGTTCAGGCTTTGAAGCTAAACATGTGCCCCCAGTTTTGCCACCATGGCTTCCAGAGCTGCCTGCCTGCGCTGAGGACTCTGGCTTTCTGGGGTGGGAGTGGTGCAGCTCTTAGCTCTTTTGGTCCAAACTGTTCTGGTTCATGACTCCCTCTCTGCCACCTTTTCTTCAACAAAGGATGGGGCTCATCACAGTGAAGCTTTGGAGACCCTCAACGAGGGAGCAGCCCAACCAAGGAAGACAGCAAGGGATTGCAGTCTGACCCACACAGCTGGTATGGCACCTTGCACCCCACTGCTGGTGAACCTGCCCGGACTGAGCGTTCTGCTGCCGGGAGGGCTGTTGGGAGTGGGTGGTCCTGCATGGAGACAGGGAGTGGGGAAAGGGTGCTGAAATGGAAGTTTCAGACCCCTTGGGTCTGAAACATTCTCCTTTTCCTGCCCTCTAATAGAGAGCAAAATGAATGCCTTGCAGACACAGAGGCCAATTTCTTTGATGTGCCCCATAAAAAAACCAGCAAAGTAGGATACTCATGGAATAAGAAATTAAACTGCGATGTTGGCATTCCCAGAGAAGGCAGGTGTCTTGTGGTGGGGCTCTGATGATGACCTCCTCTTTGCAGCAGTGAGGAACCAGCCTGCCCTTTGTAGGGGTGCCTACTGGATTAGATGCTGTCCTGCATTGCTGGCTGCTGGAGTCCTGCTTTTCCCTAGGGGCAGGATCAGGCCTCTTCTGGTGGGGCCAATGACATGTTCCACACACTGAGACAACTTCCCCCTCTCTTCCTCTGCTCCTAGGCAGGGTGATGAAGCTGAATGAGCGAAGCGTGGCCCACTATGCCACCTGTGACTCACCCGCTGACCATGCCGGCTTCCTGCGCAAGCGGGTGGAACGGCACCACCACCATGCCCACCACTACAGCACCTCCTACCAGCGCCGCTGGTTTGTCCTCAAGGGCAATCTCCTCTTCTACTTCGAGGAGCGGGAGAGCCGTGAGCCTGTGGGGCTGGTGGTCCTGGAGGGCTGCACCGTGGAGCTGTGTGAGGCTGCTGAGGAGTTCGCCTTTGCCATCCGCTTTGACGATGCTGGCGCCAGGGCTTATGTGCTGGTGGCTGACGGGCAGGCTACCATGGAGGCCTGGGTGAAGGCACTTTCGCGGGCCAGCTTCGACTACATGCGGCTGGTGGTAAAGGAGCTGGAGAAGCAGCTGGAGGAGGCTTGCAAGAGCTTGGCCGCTTGCCGCAAGTCTCCACGGAGGTCCTCCTCCTCTGGCAGGAAGAGGCATCTCTCCAACCCAGCCTTGCTGCCTCTCCAGGAGAAGCCTTCCATCCTGGAGAACGGTTACTCCACATGGGGTAGTGGTGGTTGTATCCCCGGTGGGGCTGCCTGCCCTGACCATGATGGGGGGCAAGCAAAGCCCCCACCCCTGCCTCCTCGCCGGCGCTCGGCCACTGGCAGCGCCACAGGGTCCTCAGCGCCCAGCCTCTCACCAGCCATGCTGGAGAGCCCAGTGTCGCCAGACACGATCTGTTTCTCCAAGCTGCACAACTGGTACGGGCAGGAGATCGTGGTGCTGAGACGAGAGTGGCAGGAGAGGCAGAAGAGGGGACACCTGTGACTGAGGGCGCAGGACGCAAGTCACCAGCCAGCTGATGCCTGTCAGCCTGTCTCCCACATGGGAAGAGCAGAGCAAGGGACTCAGTGGCTGAGTGTGCAGTGTGTGTATGCTTCAGAGGGTGTGTGGGAGGCATCCGAGTCTTCCCCAAACTTCATGTTTCACTTCCATGAGGCTTTGTACAGCCGGAGTGTGTAATACCAGGAGAGCCACCTCTGAACTCTCCTCTGTTGGTGATACGAGGTGTGGAGGGGGCACAAATCAGCATGTATGCAACAAACCTCAGCCAAAAGGCTTGGCCCACTGCCGTCTTGGCGGGCATGCTTCATCACCCACCTCTCATTCACCGCTTTTTTTTGGTTTTGTTTCTCAGTGTGGAAGTTTGCACGGGTCAGCGTTTATTATTATCTGTGGTCTTGCGCCAAAGTCCTTCTGCTTTTGTTCTTTTGCTGCAGATAAGGCTGGGCTCTTATGAAGTGCCTCCAACGGGCCACTGGCCCTGGCGTGTGCCTCCGGCCTTGTGCCTCTCTCACCACAGGACATGTGTGAGCCACTGCAGCTGTGGCTGGCCCAGGAGCTGGGGCTCTTGCACTATCTGTTTTTTTTTTTTTTACTTTTCTTTACTTCTTTACTGACCCTTCTTCCAGCTAAATTCTTCAGGATGTGGATATCACGGGCTTGCATCTGTCTCTTTGTGTGCTCATGCTCAACAACAGGGCTGAAATGGAGACACAGAGCGTGGCCTGAAGCAACAGTGAGGACCAGGAGCTCCCCAGGGCTTATCTGGACTCTGTCAAGTGGTAATCAAGCCTGTTACTATTTCAGGCTCGAGCTTTCCCTGTTCCAAAACAGGGATGCTAAAGCCTCTTCACCTGGCCAAGAGTAAATTTCTCAGCCTTTGTTCAGACCACAGCTCCTGCGAAGTGCCATATAGGGCTCAGTCAGCTCATTAGGCTGCTTGCCCAAGAGGGTGTCCAGAGCCACACCCTTGCTGGGCCTCTCGTTGTGGCTCTGCCCAACTCCTGGCAGTGCTGCACAGTCAGAGGAGAGGCTTTGGAGGAGCAGGGAAGAGGAGAGAGCTGGTCTCGGGAGGAAAAGTGAAGGTGTGGGAGTGATTTACAGGTAGCAGTGACTGTGTGTTGGTGGTGTCTGGGCTTGCCTCTCTAGCATCGAAGCCATATCGCTGCTTTCTACCAAGCCAGCACTTGGCCTGCCTGTGCTTCCCTCTGACTTCATCTCAGCATTGCTTGGCTCATTCCTGTAGCACATCCCATCTTCCCAGCGGGCTGGGAGGGCTGCAGGGAGGCATGCCTGTCACCTCACTGCAGAAATAGACTTGTCCATCAGTAGGTCAGAAACCTTGGCCACAAGGCAGACGGTACAAGTATGTGGATGCCAAGTCCAGGGACTAGAACACCCTGGAGTTGGGGTTTATAAATCTCCCTTATCCTCTTGGCAAGGGCTGTTTTTCAGATTAAAAAATATATGTGATGTAGTCATGTGCTTCCTATCTAAAAATGGAAAAACCTGGTTTTATTGCCCTGTTTTATTAAGGAGCCTTGCTGGGAAAGCAAAAGGCCATTTCAGGTCATGACTGGCTGGAACCTATTTTGCTTTTCTGGAGTTAAATGCACTCAGCTTTATACTTTGCAATAGCCAGTAGAGAATGCCAGTGCAGAAATCAAATTAATTCCATTAACTCTTGGTGCCTTTGAAAATATAAATCTCTGGTAGTTTTGGATGATGAGCTTCCAGCCTCCTGCCTAATTATGGCTCAGTAGTGTATTAGAGGAAATCTTAAATCAGATCTTAGCAATATGACTTCAGGCAGTGACAGTGTAACCTTCACTTACAAGTGATGCTATCCAGTCCTCTCCAGTTTGTGCCTGTATTTCTTCACAGTAAGGATCTTCAGGTTTGGGAGGATTATTTTTGTTCTGTTTTCAAGTGAAAATAGTTCAGAAAAAGCAGGAGCGGGTGGCTATGGGTCAGGCCCCAGGCTCTGTCAGCAGCCCAGTTGGTTGGACAGAGGGGTCAGTTCTGCCTCCCTACCTGCAGCTTGAAGAGTTCAGTACTGCAGCATTCCTGGCTGTGAACCCGTTCCCTTCCCCATGCCAGGGCAGCAGCATCAGGGAATCACACTACCTAGTGCCTCTTTGCTCTGAGCGTGGGTATTTTGGGGCCAAGGTCAGATTTGTTAAGCATTTTCCTGTGTTTATTTTTTTAAATGTAATACAGAGAGAAAAATATTTCCGATGTCTCAGACTTACATAAGGCAGTTTGACGGTAAAGATTTAATTTCTGAAACCAGTCAAAATGTAGTGGCAGTTCCTACAAGAGATCCAAGAATTGGGAACGACTTAAAAAAGAAAATAAATTAACAAAGCCAGTTCTGTCAGAACTGGGACTGAAGCAGTATTATTCATTTAAGGGCAGTTTCACTTTTAAGAAGCTGAGTTTGTTTTAATAAGCCAGGATTGTATTCATAACACTACTAAAGAGCTTATATTTAATGCTTTAATCTGTCCCATTCAAATGGCACAATTTCCACGCTACCTACCTTTGCGTTAGCACATATCCCAGCTAAATCCTAAATCCTGCAAATGAGGCGCTGCGCTCTGCTTTCTGTCTAATCGCATTTGGAGTAATTTTGTGTTTTATTCTGCAGCACTGACAAGAAAATGGCTGAATCCTGATCCTCATTTGTGCTCAGCCCAGCTGTCCATGGGCCTTTGCTAGGTTTCCAAAGTGCTGTGTGACTTTGGATGCACTTGATCGGGGCTTCCTCACTATTCCGTTCTCATAGCAAGGTTGGCCCTTTTCTGAGTAAAAAGAGCCATAATTGGAGTCATGCCCAAATTTGTATGGGAATATGGGGTTTTTTTAATGACTGTTGCTGCTTGCTTCATTAGGCAGGAAGCATCTGGGTGCCCCTCTGCCTCCTCAGAGATGGAGACTATCAAACCAGCACAGCTGAGAATTGGTTGTGCTGGTAGAGTCTTTGAAGCAGTTCGCAGGCTGGAGGTTGGGATTTCAGGTTCCTGAAGTTGCACATGCAGCTGGCTAATGGAGCATCCTGTCTGTCTGCGGGCAGACATCATTACAGGAAAGGCAGAGAGTTTTCACTGCACATCGTCCCTGGCAGCAAAAAAGACTAATTGCCACACATGGGTTTTTCTCTAGCCATTCAGGTTTGGACTGTTTCACCTCCTGCTTCCACTTTCCCTTATTAATTTTTAAAAATAGAGAATGTCTGGGCTGCACAGAACAGGTTCCTTGGCATAGGGGGAGCTGAATGCTAAAGCTGAATGGGTACTTTCCTTAAGGTACTGAATTTAAGATCCTTTTCTAAGACTTTTCTTTAGCATAATAATGCAAAAGCAATGAGAGAAAAATGCTAAAATTTAAAAGAAGACTGAAAGACGGAGGGCAATTCTATCATGGCCTTTGTAAGCTATGGCGAGAAGGGCTCCCAATCCTGCTAAAATACTTGACAAAATCCTTAAATTTTTTTCTGAGGCTGGCATTTAAGATTTAAACCCGTGATATTATTTCTGCACATCTTTTTTGTTAAACTGTGCTGATGTTTTCCACTGAATCCAGGTCCTAGCGGCAAGAGTAACCTGAAGTTTTTCCCCGTGGCCACTGCTAGCCACTTGGTGGACAATCCTGACCGGGATCAGACATTTTCTGTTACAGTAGCTACTGCATTAATTGGGGGGGGGGAGGCGGGGAGTGACCCCTCCATCTTAACCTCTCTCGACTGCCTTTGCAGAGAAGCTTAAAGAATCCCCACTGAAATGCACGTGGAGTTCCCGTGTCCGGGGCACCTCGGCACCACCAATTGCGTTCATTCCGCACAATTACCTGGCAACACTACGAGCAACCCGCGGGGACACTCCCGCCTTCCCAAGGGCTTCTATTTTAGGTAGGACGGCGTGTTCTATTTTTAAGGAGACGGTTTTGCATGCGCCTTTGTTTTACACGCGGAACTTGTGTTATACATTTCATTACTTTGTTAGCGTTTGTTTTACACGCGGAACTTGTATTACGAATCTCATTTACGTTGTTCAGCGTTTGTATTTTATGCTAAATAAACCGGATTGATTTGTAGCCCGTGAGCCCCCCCGGGAGTGTCTGCAGGGCCTGGGCATTCCCGCCCGGCGCGGTTTTCCCCAGTGGAGCCCTCTCGGAAGGGGTGGGAGACTGCCCGCTTCCTTCCCTCCTCCCGGCCACCGGGGGGCCCCCCCGCCCGGGGAAGGGGGCGCGGCCCCGCCTCGCGCACGCGCAGCGCCTCTCTCGCCGCCTCTTCTCAAAGCTCGCGAGATCCTGGGTGACGCCCGGGCTCGGCCGCGGCTCAGGGCGGGCGGGACGATGGCGGCGGCAGCCGGGCGGCTCTTGGCGGCGACGGCGGCTCGCTCGGGGCGGGCGGGCTGGAGCGGGCCGCGCGGCGCCTCGGCCGTCTCGCTGGTGCCCTCCCGAAGCGCCACCGTCACCCGCAGCGGCGCCATTTTGCCCAAGCCGGTTAAGGTGAGTGAGGGGCGAGCGGGTGGGGGCGGCAACGGACGGCAGCGGTGGCCAATCGGTGCAGGCGAAGCTGCTGTGGGCGGGGCTGGGCGGTGAGTGACAGATCCTGGGCCAATGAGGGGAGCGACTGTAGGCGGGGCGGGCACACGGAAGCCTGGCGACGGGAGGGTGATGGGGCGGCCCCGCGTCCCCCGAGCGGGCCGGCGCTGGCCCGGACCGTGTCCCCCCGTGTTCCCCCGAGAGGGGCGGCGCTGGCCTGGCGGTGCTCGGTGGGCAGTAAGGCGGAGATCAACACCCGCCTGCGTACACCCTCTGCCACCGGCGACCGCTCCCCTTGCTAAGCCACGGGTGTTCCCTGCCCCGGACTCCCCGCGGGTTCCAGCTCCCCGGTTTTGGAATGTTTATAATACTATAGTACTCTAATAAAGCGCGATGCGGTGACGGCACTAGGGACGGCAAAGCGTTCCTCCCGCCGCTTCCCGGGCCGTCCGCGGGCCGGCGGAGCCGGGAGTGTGTCGGTTCAGCCGAAGTGCCACTTGCTGGTAAAGATCCACCTTTTCCAATCGACTCCTTGCAGACGCCCTTCGGCCTCCTCAGAGTGTTCAGCGTCGTGATCCCTTTCCTGTATGTTGGTACTCAGATCAGTAAGAACTTCGCAGCCTTACTTGAAGAACATGATATCTTTGTCCCAGAGGATGATGATGACGATGATTAAAGGGTATGTCACTAACTGCACCATCAATCTAATTATTTGTGCTTCCCGTTTGGCTTGGGGCAGGGAGGAGAATCTCAGATAAGGAAATACAGACAGCAACAGCTCGAAAGGTACATTTGTAGTTAAACACACAGACACGGATTTGCCTTTGGCTATGAACTTTTTTGTTCTTTTATACCAGAGTAGGCCAGACTGGTATCTGTGAAATCTTCACACCATACATTCACTAGAAATCAAAGTAAACTGATGGAGTTTTAGATCTTGTCAGTTGAATCAGAATTCAACTGTAGTCAGTGAGGCTCTATACTGCAGACAGAACAGAGAGACTTCAGTGTTACTACATTATGCATGCAAAGAAGGGCAACAGAGCTGGTGAAGCAGCTGGAGCACAAGTCTTATAAGGAGCAGCTAAGGGAGCTGGGGGTGTTTAGCCTGGAGAAAAGGAGGCTCAGGGGACACCTTATTGATCTCTACAACTACCTGACAGGAGGTTGTAAAAAGGTGGGTGTTAGTCTGTTCTCCCAAGTAACAAGTGATAGGACAAGAGGAAATGGCATTAGGTTGTGCCGGGGGAGGTTTAGACTGGATATTAGGAAACATTTCTTCACTGAAAGGTTTGTACAGCATTGGAACAGGCTGCCCAGGGAAGTGGTTGTGTCACACTCCCTCGCGGTATTTAAATGATGTGTAGATGTGGCACTTAGGGACGTGGTTTAGCAGTGGACATGGCAGTGCTGGGCTAACAATTGGACTCAATGAACTTGAAGGTCTTTTCCAACCTAAATGATTCTATAATTTTGTTCTACTTGTTTACCTGTTTAAAAGCTTTTTGCTAACTCACAGAATGACTATTTTTAAAAGAGAGTCACTTATTGTCTGAAACTCTGATATAGGTGAACAATTTGAGAGAATTCCAGAACCCATCAGAACAAACTGTCTGGTGGGTGTCACAACATTGATCTCTGAGTAGTTGGATCATTCAGACTCACTGGAGAAAGAGTCAAAATAATTCACCTCTGTCTGCACTACACTACACTTTCTACCATTTTATGTTATTCTGTTTGGCTTGCCCTTCTGTAAAGATTTGACTTTGGGTGTATTTGATTCTTTATAGAACAAAGAAACTGTTTTAAAGATGTTATTGTAAACAGTGTTGCTTTGTAATTGGTTTGGTGGATGTACTCCACTTGATAAGGGTGTTTTCCAGCATGCACTGTGCAGCTAAAAACAAAGACTTAAAAGATTGTAAACACTGCAGTGGCCAGTTGGAAACCTCCTTTACCTAAACCCCACCTTGTGTGGTTTTAGGAGGAGTGTTTCTGAAGAGTAACAGCTTGTTATTCTATTTGCAGCACGGTAACAGAAGAACAGAAGGGAGAAAGCCATTGACAAAGCAATGATTCCAACGTCTGTCACCTGTTTTGTCCTTCCTAAACGGGACAGGGGGCTTTTGCCAGTGAGCGTCCTGCGCATGAGGGAAATCTGTAGATCAGGGTTGAAGGAAGAGCACTGCATCCTTGCAGCCCTTGCACACGCTCACCTCATCAAAGACTGCTTGGATGCCTTGAATTAGCAATATGGAAAACACTTAATTAAAGATCAAGAGATTGAGATGTATGACTTTTGTCTTGTGTTTTTATTCATGTGGGGGGGAAAAAAATGTGCCTGTGTACTAGCATTTGTCTTAACCTTTCTCCTCTGTCTGTCTGTTCCAGTGAGGAGGCTCTCCTGATATTTATTTCCTCTTGTGAGTCCTCTCTGTGAGCCCTTTTCCCCAGGGGAAGCAGCAGCCCCACAACACAGCCCCATTAAAGAATGAGGTGCACATCAGCAATGGCACTGCGGTTCAACAACCTGGCAGGTGATGGGACCGTGTCATTAATATCACCTCACTGAAGATTAAATACAGTATTATCGTCACAGAGTTAAAAGTTTGCGTACCTTTGGTAAAAGGCTAAGATCACAAATGGCAAACTAACTTGCTGATGTCTTTTATAGCATTTAATCTCTGAACACTGAAAAAAATGTCTGAACACTGGCTCCATGTACCTAATATTTCCTAGGTAGTTCAGTACTTCCTTCTGAATGAGCCCTAATATATTTGTTGTCTTAACTGTGTATAAACCTCAAGTCCTCTTTTCATAGAAGTGTTTACTATTGCATTTAAATCCTAGCATAACAGACTTAAAAGATCTTCTCTGCTGCTAGGGCACATGAAGAGCATCTTTAGTCACATCAGACCAGCTGTTTTCTCAAATTGAAACCTAGAAAGGTTAGTGAATTATTTATTTTTCTTAAGCCAGTGTCTCTCTTGTGGTTTCTGGTCATTAGCTCTGGCCTTGTATCTTGACTGCCCACTTTCTCCTTCTTTGTTCATGTCACTGTTAAAAAGTCTCACTTAATATCGCACACATTGGCACAGTGTATAGTTCAAACAGCCACACTTGCTCCCTTCTTCTTTGGCAGAGCTTTGGATGTTTGCTTTGTAACTCTCCAGCATAGTTACAGAGAGAAAAGGGAGCCTGCAATCCGAGTAACCCCAACAACTGTAGCTGAAGGGAAATGTCAGATTCTTGAGTCACTTGGTATCTGAGTTGCCCCCTCCTTCCCCAAGCCACCTGAGAAGTGGTTGTTCCAGTTCATCTGCTCTTGGGAGCCAAACATGTACCCACTCCTGTCTTCTATGCTGCCAAATTCCTTATCGCTGCTTTATCCCACGGTCTCTTCTGGCCCCTCCTGACTCTCTCAACCCTGTCCTTAAAAACACGCCACCCCTGAAGCCCCAAGGTACACTTACATACAAATCCCCGAGGAGTGCTGTGTTACAGTCCTCTTATGGGGAAGAAAGCCCCAGTATTTAGGCAGGATAAAAACCAGTTTGACTGTACTACAAAGATCCGATGCTGGTCACACCTGGGGGAGCTCTAGCACTGAGTTACCCCCTGAAAATCTGTTCTGACTGGTGACAGAACAAATTCTCCTTACCCTTCTCAAAAGGGAGCTAGTAATTCCTGATTCAATTAAGAAGGTGATAGTAGGACACCATCTCCTGCTAGGCATCAGAAGTTCTTACAGAGCTTTCCTATTCTAGATAACAGTACAACCCCCCATTTTTCCAGGTAATTTCATTTTACAGCAGGGAAATGGACTCTGCTGATGTCTTTATGCATAAAGGGATTTATATGCTGATTTCATATATTCTCTGAGGAGGTAAACAGAGACTAGTGTCCAAGGGAAAAACAGCAGGTCAACAAAGTCACAGCATGAAACTGCAAGACACTACATGAATACAGATGGGTCTCAAGCACAAGAGTATTTCTGTGACTACACTGGCTGTTCTGAAGACCTGCTCTTTCCTCCACAGAGCTAACACGTACAGACAGGGCTGCAGGCCAAGCACAAAGCCCCACAGCTAGGTTGTGTTGTGGTTATTCAGCAGACACCCCAGGGCCGATGATGGGACAAATGCTGCCCACTAAAAATACATACTGGCAAAACTGTGAAATCACAGCTCTTCAAACATCATAATCACTTGCACACGCTCTGGATTCAGCTAGGCCTTAGACTCCTAATATGTTACACAATCTCTCTGTATGGTTTTTTTCTATTGTACAGAACTTTATTTGTAATATAAGGCAGGAAGACACAGAGTCAATCTCTCAGGGATCGTGGCCCGCATAGAATTTGGACAGAAAGTCTTTAGGTTGCGGGGTTTCCGTCTCATGGAAATACCTCATGACGTGAGTCCTCTGCTTCCATACATGAATGGTTTCTTGAAGCTCCATTTTCCCCTGAGCACAGACAGAAGAATTTTAGACCAGTTCGCAGTTAGAGCCCAAGTCTAACCTTACAGCAGCATGAAAGTTATTTCAATGCACTGAGAAACACCTAAGTAAAAAACAGCTGCATCAGCAGTTCTGTACTCCTACAGACTGCTTGTATCACCTACACTGTGACACAAATATGCTGTTTCCGCCTTGTGACTTGACATCTCT